ATGTGCTAGAATTCTCTAGAAAATTCCATTGCTGAATTTTACACATCCTCGCACCACAGTATTTATGCACAATTTCTGCACTCGCTGATCCTATCTCTGCTCTGGGCAAAAAAGCAAGACAAGAATTTTGCTTGCTTTGATATATTAAGAGATGATGTGGGGATAATAAGGTGATGCAGATTGCTTCTAGATTAACCAAAATTTTAAAAGTTGTGCCATTGGCATTTCTCCTCTCTAACAGTAATGAATGTAAGGTTTGGTGCTTAATGCTTGAAAAACACTGATACAACCATTTTCATCACAGACATCCTTGATGCTGCTTCTATAAATATAAATATATATGTTAAGTTCACATGCATACATATTATTGCGTGTGTGTGTTTGTGTTTGTGTGTATTAAGATCAGCTATAAACTAAATGGAAAAATATTGGTCAGCAGCATCTTCTGTCAAAAAGTCCTCTTAACTTTTTAACACAGAGATCTGGCACCTTTAGAAAACTGCTGAGCTTCCCCTGAGCTATCACCTTCAGCCAGCATGGCCAGTGTTCAGTCATAAGAGGAATTAGAATATGAACTTCATTGAGTGCGTCCCCAGATAGTGAGATATTTCTTACGGTCCATCTCTGTTCCAGATTAATAATGGATGGTGTGCATATTGCATAGGCAGTGAAGGCAGAAAATGAGGGTAAATCCATTCTCTTTAGCTGGTGTTTACAACCCAGACAATGAAGAAAAGTCAGAATGTAGTTTTTCAAGCGGTAGCACTGACTTTTATAAGACAAATGGCTCAATTTTCTTAATTCTTTTATCTCTTGTCTTCATCAGTTCCCAGTGGAGTATCCGGACAAGTTCCTGAAGTTTGGAATGACACCTTCACGAGGTGTGCTGTTCTATGGACCCCCTGGCTGTGGCAAGACCCTCCTGGCAAAGGCCATTGCAAATGAATGCCAGGCCAATTTTGTCTCCATCAAGGGTCCTGAGCTACTCACCATGTGGTTTGGAGAGAGTGAGGCCAACGTCCGCGATGTTTTTGACAAGGTACAGGGTACAAAGTGGGCAAGGGGGAAGGAAAAGGGCTGTCTATTGTGACAGGAACTGAAGACGTCATCTATTTCCCAGTCACCCATTAATGTCAAAGTGAGCTCTTGTTCTGGTGGCTTCATCCAGACATGCCTACAGTTTTTCAGTAACAGTATAGAAATGGTTTGCCATCACCTTTCATGAATTTTTGTTTCACTCTCCAAAGTAATCCCCAATGTTGGTATTCCCTGGAAGTCCCCCATCTAAATATTAACTAACGCAACCTTGCTTAGCTTGAATCCAGACAAAAGTGGCCAGACCTTGCTTCATGTGAGGTCCAGCCACCCATAGGAAAAAAAAATGAAAAAGTGAAAGAGTTCCCATTTTATTTTGAAATTCTAAATATGTTGTGGAATTATGGCACTAATTCCAGAGCATTTATTAAAGGAAGGCATTGGGGAATATATTACTGTTTGTCCTGGGGTAGACATCCCATTTTTAGTAGCTGCCAGCAATTCATAATTCATTGTCTCGGGACACTGGTTTAAAATCCACTAGTTTTTAATGGCCCATTGGGACTATTCAGTCTAACCTTCACTTTACCAAAGGGTAGACCTGTAATTCAGGCAACACAATTGAAATTCATCAATCTGGAAAGACGGAAGACCTTAGGACACAAAACAAATATGTTGCCAGTCTTATATTTTAATAGTGATGTAACTCACATTGCTCCTTTTGTTCCCCAGGCCCGCCAGGCTGCTCCCTGCATCCTGTTTTTTGATGAGCTGGACTCCATTGCCAAGGCCCGAGGTGGCGGAGCGGGGGATGGTGGGGGTGCCGCTGACCGTGTCATCAACCAGATCCTCACAGAAATGGATGGCATGACCAACAAGAAGACAGTATTTATTATAGGTGCCACCAATAGGTGAGAATTTAAAGAAAGGAAGGTCCAGTTCTGTGGGCTAAGGAGATGTATGGGCAACGCCCATTTCTTTGTCCTGTTGCCAATCTAGCTATTCCTCCTCCGGAGTCCCTTTTGCTCAACTGGTCATTGAGACTGAAGTAAGAGTCACTGAGAAAAAGTTAACCTCTTCTTTGGAAACAAGTCTCCAGGGTGACATGTGACTTCCATATCTGATTTATAGCCCCCTTTGGCCATAATTTCTCCAACCTGACAAGACTGAATCCTGTCTTTGAGATAACAAACTTAGGAAAACTGTAGTATCAGCTCTACAATTCAGTATTAACTTATTATAGTTGCAACTCCATGCAAAGGCTTCTTTGTCTTCTAATGTTTCGTCTTCAAGAATTTCTGAGTCGGGTCATGTTTGATCACCACCATTCGTGACCAGATTCAAAAATTTTGTGAATTTTTGGGTTGGAACCCGATTTTGGTCATGGTCAGAAGTGTTCGTGACCAGAGGTTCTATCGTACCACCTCTTCCCCCCAACTTTGCAGTTTTCTGTCCCTTTGATTCCTATTCTTGCCCACTTCTGCTATAGAGCTGCATTCCTGTCAAAGAAGCATCTGAGTTGAGTTTCTAGAGCCATTCCTAGAGGAAAAACAACCCATGAAACTTGCTGTTGTCTCTTTGCCAAATCTTTTCAGACCAGACATTATTGACCCGGCCATCCTTCGTCCAGGACGTCTGGACCAACTTATCTATATCCCATTACCTGATGAAAAGTCTCGCGTAGCGATCCTCCAAGCCAACTTGCGAAAATCACCAGTTGCCAAGGTCAGTCAAAGCAGGCAAAAATGGGCATGTAAAAGTAAATCAGCAATGGATATCAAGGTCCAGAGGTGTCACCCATCCAGTAGAGGAGGACTGATTGTGACAGTCTTTAAAGGGGGTGTGTGGCTCAGTCTTCCCTGAAGTTCCTTCGTGTCAAAGTGAGGAACAAGATGGCAGAAGAGCCGTGGTGGTGGTGGTGTTAGAATGCAATATTACAGGCTAACTCTGCTCACTGCCAGCAGTTCAATCCTGACCGGCTCAGGATTGACTCAGCCTTCCATCCTTCTGAGGTGGGTAAAATGAGGACTCAGATTGTTGGTGGAAATATGCTGATATTGTAAACTGCTTAGAGAGGGCTGTACAGCACTGTAAAGTGATATATAAGTCTAAGTGCTATTGCTATCACTGCTCATTCTATGGACAAGACCAAATTGCTCCAATACAGAAAATGAGGCAGTGGCTCTCACTGCCTTTTATGCTGATTCACCATGGAAGGCTGACTTAATCGGCATATGGTCAACTCCTTAAACACATTTTTGTTGCCCTCAGCTTTCATCTCTCATTTTTGTCTTACTTTGATAACTTGGGAAGGGAATACTTTAGCTTGTATACCTTTTCCCAACAGGATGTCGACTTGAATTATCTGGCTAAGATCACACATGGCTTCTCCGGTGCTGACCTCACCGAAATCTGTCAGCGTGCCTGCAAGCTCGCCATCCGTGAGGCCATTGAGATGGAGATCAAGGCAGAACGGGAACGGCAGCGTCAGAAGTACGCCGCCATGGTACGGACACAATATTTTCCCTTTTCCATTAAAAACCTTCCCTTACCTCAAGCTCTCTTCTTAAGAGCGTGGTCTCCACCTTGGGGGCTACCGCCTGCCTGACATCCTTCTCTTCTGTGTATTGTAACAGGATGATGATTATGACCCCGTGCCAGAGATCCGGCGGGATCACTTTGAAGAAGCAATGCGCTTTGCACGCCGTTCAGTTAGCGATAATGATATACGCAAATACGAGATGTTTGCTCAAACATTACAGCAGAGCCGTGGCTTTGGCAACTTCAGGTAACGTTAGAACAAGTTTTTGCTTGTTCTATCCCCGCAGCATTGGGGGAGAGGGGGGCACAGGGGAGTTGCATCCCTGACTTTTTCCCCAAAATATCAGTACAATTTCATTCATTAAATTTGGGCCATATCAGAGCCCCAAAAATAATTGATTGCTATAAATGGAACAAGCAGTGCCTGCAACAAAGTGCAGCAGTGCGTAAAAGTGAAATCAGGATGTCAGCAATTTCAATCTCCTATTCCCACCCAATTTCCCTGAATGAAACGTGGGATATAAACCTACTTAAAGAAGAATTAAAAAAATATTTTTAAGAGGGATATAAATTTAATAAATACTTTGGTTATGCTGTACAATACTAAACTTTTTAAGAATTATATCCATCCATTGGATATTGTGCTTCTTAAAAAGGGCAATGCAGCATGTACCCAAGGGTGACTACAGCCCTTTTATTAATCCATGGCCACATTCCTGAACTAGTTCAGTGGTGGGATTCAATTTTTTTTTACTACCGGTTCTGTGGGCGTGGCTTGGTGGGCGTGGCAGGGAGAAGGATACTGTAAAATCTCCAGTCAGAGGTGGTATTGGCCGGTTCTCCGAACTACTCAAAATTTCCGCTACCGGTTCTCCAGAACGGGTCAGAACCTGCTGAATACCCACCTCTGAATCGGTTGCAAATTGAACACTGTGATAATGCGTAGCTAGTGCCAGTTAAGATATCCATTGTTTCAGTAGAGGGAATAACTCAAGGGTTTCTCCTGAACTGAAATAGCCCTCCTCCTCCTCCTCTTTTTTCCTCCCCACAGGTTTCCATCGGGCAAGCAGACCAGTGGTGGAGGGGGAAGCAGTGGCAGCAACAGCGGGCAAGGAAGCCTCTTCCAGGAGGAGGGGGAAGACGACCTCTATAACTGATTGTACAAGAAACGCCCCCTCGTGGTGGGAGTGGATGGTCCTCTGCGCTCATATTATTGTGCTCTTTTAATGTAAGGACTGGCTGGTGCTTGAGGCCCTAAACCTTGCCCTCCTCCTTGGTTGCAGATCTGTGCTACTCGACACAAGAAAACTCCATGCTTCGTTTTGATGGGTAACGTTGGGTGCCACTTCCTTTTCTGTTTGGCTTGGCTGTAGCCAGAAAAACCCTTGGTTTTTCCACTCTTGTGTTACTTTTTTTTTTTTTTAAAGATTAAAGCAGTACCTGTGATAGTCAGAAGGGGAAGACAAAGCTTAAGCAGCTGTCATGAGAATTTAACCATTCTCCATCAGACTGGTCCATCTGTTCTAGCATTTTGCTTTCCATAACTGTCAGGAAGCTGCCCATTGAAGCTCAGATGCAGGATTAAGGCTTCCCATATACCAGGCCTCTGCCCACAAATGCATCAGAACGCTTCACACCAGTGCCTGCTCTTGTATTGCCTTCCAGTTTAGAACTCAAGGGAATGGAGGATGGGCAGTTTTCCAACCCTGCTTGCAAGCCAGTCCAAACTGTTTCCCTTTGACCCCTCTTAGCCCACAGCAAAGCCTTTGGACTAGTAAATAAGGTGGATTTCAACAAACTCTGGTCTGTGTTATTAGGTGACAAAGACTTCTGAATGTCCTATAAACTGAAAGCGCATGCATCTTGCACTAGGAGGAATTCTGTGAAGGCTGCAGAAAGCAAAACATGCTCAGGGGAGAGAGATATGGGCATATCTATACAACATCCTTCCCTGGGTATAAAGACTGCCAGCCCTCTGGCTGTTTCCAAAGAATATGCCTGCACATTGTTGCCTGTATCTCACTGTCTACTGCAACTGGGAATTCTTACTCTACTCTGGATATTTTCCTCTTGTCTCAGATACTGCATATGGGCACTGTATCGCGACACTGTGTATCTTGTGTGAGGCAGGGAATCTCCTGCCTCAGCTCCTTGTGTAGCTTTTAGTTTACAACTACCATACTGATTCTTACAGCAATTCCACTTTCTCAACCTCTGGCACCTATTTAGCAGCTGCAGAGATTCAGACAACCACTAAATGGCAGACAAGTAGTACAGAATCTCTCATTTTTGCTGTCACCAGTTGTCAGTAGTTAAACAATCAACTCATAGTTTCAAGGATTTTTTTAAAAAATTCAATTGGCAGCCAATATAACAGAAAAGCAAAAATAGTGCATGGATTAACCAAAGTATTTATGTAGTGATGGAATTTCAGCCAAACATGGTCTTTTTACAATGTTGCCCAGAAATAAATAATTTATTAAAAGGCCAATGGACAGCAGAGACCCATTTCAGCTGCAGCTGTGTCACGTCGTGAGCTCAGCCCACTTGATAGTACAGGAACATAGCAAAACTGTGTGTTTACAACCATACTGAACAATAAGGGTTGGTGGGACAATACCGGTGTGTAGAGTGGGGCAGAAAACTTGAACCTGGAGCAACAGATCTCCACCTTCACCTCTTTTTTCAACTAATTCCCATAACGGTGATAATTTTCCTTCTGCTGTTTGATCCCATTTGTTTCCCAGCCAGGATTCTGGAAGCTTGATTTTACATGTTCCAGCTGCCTGATGACAATAAGCAGCCACTGAATGAAAACAAAACACATGGAACAATAAAATGAGACCCCCGAGACTGACTAGATTAGCTGGGCTAGCACAGGCTGCTGTGCGAAGCAAGTGCAAAGCAAGTCAAGGGCATGGAAGAACATAAAGCATGAAAGGCCAGAATGCCCCACTGAAGTGCTTCATGGTGGCGTGTGCCTGGTGCTGATTAAGGGTTCTCACAGGGTACGGCTATGTCACAGCCAGCCCCTACAGATCAATCATTTCAGGGTTTTTCCATTGTCCATGCTCTGTTCTCCACAGCCTCCCAGAGCTTGGAGTAGAGCAGCAGACGGAGGAATCCCCTCGCAGTCTGTGAGTCAGTGTCACCAATTCCCCAGGGATGTTATCTTGCAGGATCATCGGCAACAATTTGTTGAAATCCATTCTAGGAAGGAACTTCTGCAGATCTCTTCTATGAGTAAATCATGCTGTAGGTCTACTTAACTCTTCTGAAAGGCGCTTCCTTAAAATTATTGAGTTTGGGAGGCCCCAAGAGATCACATTTTCAGCCTTTTTTAAAAATTATAAATCAATCTACGATGCCCATGAAAGGGTTCTCTAGAATGTCTAGGTTTGTGTTTAAATTAAAGGCCGCCCTGAACCGTAAAGCGCATGCCTTTGTTTTCTCCACTGCAACTGCTGTGCGATCTACATGTGATGGTGAGACGAAGCGATACTTTGCATCAGTTTCCTTGTGCAGAAGCACAGCAAATTTTAGACCCATTACATTCTTTTACACACTGCTGTAATGCAGCTGCCTCAACATTGTGGAAAATCTGCATCATAGGTTCCAAGTATCCAGGTCATTTCTGGCAGCAGGTTAAATAGCCTGCCCTGACAGGGTTGGACTCAAATGGCTACTCTGTGGCTAGGGAAGTGCAACAGGATGATGATCTACCTGAACTGAGTATCCAAGGAAGGAGGCTACCTGGGATGTCTTCTCGCCTCAGGATGCACAAGAGCAAGATTCATATTCTTGAGAAGTTGCTCTTGCACTATGCAAGAAAGTCACAGGTAGCGTGATTCAGCTTTGGAATATAGCAAGAATAATTTCCCAGGCTGTTCACCGTGCACAATGCAGCCTGTATCAGGAAAGGCGTATGGCTTTAAAAATGCACTAAATCGTTTTCCTCTCAAAACATACTGGCCTGCTTTCATTTACCTGGTCAAGAACTATCTTCTGATACAGATTACTATCTGAGACCAGACAAGAGTTCTTAGTTCCGCTTTACAGGAAGTATCAGGAATGTATAATGTATTCTTTACCACTGAGCAAAGGTCTCCATAGGTGTCCAATAGAAACCATTATGATATCAAAATGAATTCATGAGCATCATGACTTTTCATTCACATTGTGATATATTTATACTCCCTCACCCTTTCTGTGGATGCCCTTGAACTATCCCCAAAGAACTGTCATTATATTTTCCAAGAAGATCGTGCATCTCTCCCTTTCTCCCTCTCATAAGAAAGTCAGAAACAGGCAAGAGGCTGCTTCAAAATACTGAACTTCTTATTTGCTGCCAAGCAAACTGCCAGTTTATCTGTGGTCTTCCCTATACCACCAGCAGCAGCAGCAGCCAAGATTGCTGATTCTGAATTCCAGGAAAGTTCAAAGTGCTTTCAAGTCGATCAACTCTTGTTTGCTCCACCCAATATTAGATGCGACCAGCAGCAACGCTGCGCTCAGAGCTCTGGAAAGAGCTGGCCTCCCAGCGGTCAAAGTGTGTTGTTTTGAGGTCAGGGCGCCTTAGGAGTAGAGCCAGGAGTTTGCGCATCACTGCACGTCGCAGCAATATGTATACCCATGGGTCCAGGATCTGGTTCCAGGAGGCCAGGCGCACCCCAAGGAACAGCAGTTTTTCATAATTCAAAGCTTTATGAGAGTTGATTGCTGATAAGATGACAATGACCTGAGAACGGCACAGAGAACAAGGGCAGCAATGTTATATCAGCAAATGAGAGAACAAGATAATGAGACTGTAGGTTTATATGGTCCACTCCTTCCTAGTGACCCTAAGAACTTAGAAACAGGTATTAACTCTGTGTATACATTAGCTCAGTCCACATAATAAATATACCATTCACAACCCAGCCCTTTATTTGTGTGCTGATAAGGGCTTCCCAGAATCAATTGAGTGATTGCTTGGTTCATTCTTTGGGCTATTATACCCAAGCATAATGTCAATTTGATCCAAACTTTTAACCTCAAGAAGTTTTCCAGTTAACGTTCTTTCCCCTCTAATCAAATAGTTTCTTACATAATCAAGGTACTGTGTTTCGTATGAACATATTTCCAAGAATCTTCCTAACACCCAAGGGCATCTTATTCTAAGTTTACCCAATCTGATGCTCTCCATATTATTTTAATGTAATTTTTAGCCACCATGGTAATAGAACAACCATAGCCCTTTAAAATAGACCAGACCGGGAAACAAAAATCATGTAGATCAGTACTATATTTATTGTAGTTATAACAACAAAATATGCTGACTCTGTAAACCACTTCTTAGAGAGGGCTATAAAGCACTATGAAGTGATAAGTCTAAGTGCTGTTGCTGTTTTCCAAGTCTGAACATAGCTCCCCTCTCACTCCAACTTTATGTGAACTAGAGAAGGGATTGTTTGACACACGTCAATTCCCCACCTTTTTGTGCCTCAAAATATGTGCTAAACACCCTACACATTTCCATTGCTTCTTTTCTGTTTTGTTTTGTTTTTACTCACCAATAATGGACTCCAACAAATACAGGAGACCACCATGATGCCTGCAAGCTGCACAACCATTTCAATGTCATGTGCTTTGGTTTTCCGCCGACCGCATTTGCGCTGACCACGAAGACGAGCTCGCACCAGAATGACTCCGCTGAATGTGTTGCAGATGAGAGAGGCCACCAGAGAGGCCAATCCCAAAAGGGAGAAGAGCAAGGCAAAAGCAACCTCGGACCATTCTTCTGCCCCTTGCACCTTGATAAAACACCAAGTGTTTTGGGCCTGTATATCGTATTTCCCAAACGTGCATAGAGGCAAGAGGGCAATGGCAAGAGCAACGGTCCACAGTCCTACCAAGGAAAGCTTCGTTCGGCCTGGCGTGACCACTGCAGCATGAAGCAGAGGACGAGTGATGCCAATGCAGCGCTCCACGGCCATCATGAAGCCCAGAAAGAGAGGGCATAGTCCAAAGAATACCATGGAAGCCCCAAAGAACTGGCAGAGAGCTCTAGAGGGATCCATGGCTCTCCAACCACGCTGTGTGGCATACAGTTGCAACACGAAGGAGCCTGGGATGATATGGCCTGCTAGGTCTGTGATAACCAAGCTGCTGGCAAAAAGCAGGAATGTGGCCTTGGAACGACGCCGGAAGCGGGTGTAGGACTGCACTAGGATTACCAAGGCCACGATATTAGAGATTGCCCCCAAAGTCATTGAGAAGATGGGGGCAGCAGGAGAAGGAGCACTTGGAGTCTTCACCAGTTCTGTAAGACCCAAGGAGGAACTGTTCACTAGATGAATGGCAGGTGCTTGAGAAGCATTGGGAGGGTGCATACTAAACATCCTGTCAACGGCTGCTTCCAGGCTCAGGCATCTGCAAGGGGGGAAAAGAAGATTAGGCCGTCCATTTCTGTCCTATTTGTTCCCAGCCACCAGCTCCTGCCAAACCCCCAAGAGAAGCCAGTTTTCTGTATGAACTCCATCGTATTTAATGTAGTTTCTCCTAACTTCCCCTTTTGTGTTGTCCTGCCTGGCTGACTGCTCTTGTATTTTTATTTATTTTTTCTTAATTTACAACTGATTTGGATTACGTATTTTATCATAGAAACCAACATACTTATTTTCAGTGAGGAGGAGAACCAACAGAAACATGATCGGGGAAAGGAAGTAAGGCTTTCATGAACAAGTAGTTAAGAATTCTTTTTAAATAGGGAATTTTCTGATTATGGTTTAAAATCCACAGGGCCTTAACTTAGGCACCTCCCCTTCAATCAAAAGATCCCACTCAGACTGAATATTAACAATGCCGCCATTTTCCTGGAATTAAGCCCCAATTACCTCAAGGTAGTTCACTTCTAGCTAACCAAAAGTACATAAAGTAAAATGGAGCAGCTATCTCAGGCAGATTTTGGCTACAGGTTGTCCTATGACTTATAACAGTTCATTTAATGATCATTCGAAGTTACCACAGCCCTGGAAAAAGTGACTGACTTTTTTTTCACATGACCACTGTAGCATTCCCCATGATCAAAATTCAGATGCTTGACAACTGACTCATATTTATGGTGGTTGCAGTGTCCTGGGGTCATGTGATCACCTTTTGTGACGACAAGCAGAGTCAGTGGGGAAGGCAGATTCTCTTAACAACTGTGTTACTAACTTAACAACTTGCAGTGATTCAGTGGCAAGAAAGGTTGTAACATGGAGAAAAACTGTCTCAGTTAACAACAGAAATTTTGGGCTCAATTGTGGTCATAAATTGAGGTCTTCAAGGGAAGCAAACTTTTATATTTCTACTGCTTGTGATCTGTTGCCTCCTGCGCTAGAGTAACTTCTCCCACTCTGATTAAGATGAATGTTAATTTGGTGCTAATCGGGTATCTGTTAACATCTCTTCAGCAATGCACAGGATTGCCTTATTGGGGTCCTTCCAAATAGCAAGGATAAAATATCTTCCCAATGTACTTTATATTTTAGCATTACTAAGGAACTTAAGTACGATTTTGCAATTCTGTGAAAGAAAGCTTAAGATTAAGTATATTTTACAATAGTGACAAACAGGTAAGAGAGCTATAGGGGGTAAACAGAACTAAAAATGGAAAAGTACCATATTTTATATTTTATTTTATAACAAGTTCTTTGTTTTAATTCATAATTACATTATTCTTTCTGTCATTTTATTTGAACATATAAATAGGGATTTTAAATTTACAGTATAGACATGTCTAATTTAATATTATCAACACAATAAATCTTCCAACTCACGTTTTAGATTACAGATGTCATGGTGAAATTTAAGAAAGAACAAGCTGATGAAAACAAGTTGGGCTTATTTCTGAGAAACTAGCATCTATGCTACAAATAGCATGTACAATAGAAAAGTATTATTAGATTTAATTAAATGTTCCTCAAATAATGTCAACAAGCTTCTCTTAAACTTTCTTTCAGATCTTCCAGATCTTTACAATAAACAAAATAATAAAGACTGAGGAAAATATCTATTGTAACATTGTAACATGTGGAGCAATTACTCAGGTTTTACACTATTTACAAAAACCAGACGAATAGCTTTATGTCATTCTTATAGATTTAAGTCTAATCCAAAAGTCTAAGCTGATGACACAATGCTACCTATGTTTACTTAGATCAAGTTCAAAAGGTTTACTCTTTTATTATGTATATAGAAGATTCTTTCCAAATTTGCCAATATGTCCTGCCCTCCAACTTAGGGCAACATTTCTATATCCTCTGACCTGAGACATTACAATTGGACCTACTTCAGAGTAAAAAAAAAAAAGTTCAACTCCTGTTGACATCATGGGTATATATCTTTCTAGTTTTCATGGTAAAAACATGGATGTGGTTTGCCATTGGTGGCTTCTGTTTGTTTGCTAATTTGTTTTTTAAAAAAATCTTTTGGGACCTTGGATTTCATGATAAACTCTCACTGGTATTCACCAGAACTGATTATCTCTAGATATAGCTCTCTAGATGTACAAAAGTGCTGATATTTATACAAACAGAACAACTGCGGTATTACCATCTCCCCCTCCAATTACTGTCCTGTATAACAATTGCCTTGAAAAACCCTGAAAGATTATTTCTATAATCTTTGTAAAAATTGTATTAGTGTTAATAAAGGTAGTACTGTATCATGCCTTTTAAAATGTCCCTGCACAAAACAACAAAGAAGTCTTTCACTTATGTACAGTTTGCAAGAGAGGCAAACCCTTCTGATATTGGATAATGGTCTAAATTCATTTGGTAAAACCAGAAGCAAATTGTGTTTGTCTATAGCTGTCTTATTCACTTTTGCAGCAGCCGTGCGTGTTTAAATAAGCATATCTCCTGTACTTATCATAGGTACTGCAACTGGATTGCTCCATAAAAAATTATTGTCTAGCAATAGTAACCTGTGGGTATATTCAAAATCAGATGATACAATTATAACTTTCCATGTTTTTCACTGCCCCTATAGAAACAAAAACAGAATCTGGGAAGATAAATTGTAACATTCACCTCTTAAAATCCTCTAGTTATCCCACTAGTCACATTGAAGACAATCATTTTTCACTCTTTCTATAAAAGTTCTTTTGAAATTGGAATTAGGCTCTGGAGCCGCCCAGATACAGAAAATTGTGCTTCCCTCATGGCAAATCATTTAGGGCGCCTAAGATTTGAGAAAAGCAGATTTAATCCATATTGGGGAGGGTGAATTCATGATCCAGAAGATGGGAGCTATTTAATTTTGTTTTAGTGGTAGGTACGGAGCAGTAATAACTTATAAAATTGAAGAACTGCAATGTTTAATTCATTGATAAATTCATCAGTTAAAATATTTAACAAAAAAGTTAATAGAAATTATTTGAAATCATTAATATATTGCTAAACATCATACAGGGAAGCATTACCGGTAGTCAAAAGTCATTATCTTCCTCTATATCATTAGAAGGAAATACTTTTTCAGAAAATAGTTCTTGGCACAACTTACACAGGTATTAATCAAAGCAACATAAGCATCTAGCTTGAGGAGGGAAAAAAAAAGATCTACAAGTCTAATCAATCAAATTTTATATTACTCAATCAATTTTAATTGGATACACCCACACACCAATGTTGTACAGGAGTAAATAACTTGTTAGGTTCACAATACTAGCTTCTTATTATATCCTTGTACAAGTTGTGTCCTTTGGCTGTCTTGCTTTTCAACTAAATAAAACCCCACACCTACACATTCAAAAGCCCCATTGGCTAGAAGGTAACAGAGTGAAGTACAATACAGCTGTTTAGGCCAAGTAGAACTGCCATATTCTAAACTACTTACAAACTATTAATAGGGTGGTGGGAGTATTTCCCCACTCTATTCACTACTTGAACAGGGACATGTGATAGAAGACAGGGAATAACTACCTTCTAGGAAGGCAGAACTGGGAATAAAATCGTGTCAAGTTGGGTTAAAACGTCACTCCAACAGGTGAGGAGTATTTGGTGATAGATGCCTCCCGTCTCTATTGGAAGAGCCTCCGAATGACAATTTTTCGCCCATTTACCGGGGATTCTTAGAATTAACAGTTCCCGATAACACTTACAAGAAAGAGGGTAGCTGTTTAGCTTCCTTCCAGGACTTTCTGAGTACTTTTTCCACGGAGTAGTAAAGCGCAAACAATTCGAGCTCCTGCCTTCTACCCCATGTTTTTCTCTCCCAGAACGGCACCGATTCTTCTGGGTGCTTCCATCCCTAAAGCAAGCAAGTCACTCGGAAAGCATCTCAACTTCTTCAACACTAAATACCCCCCATGAATATCCTCCGACCAGCCTGAGCGCACCGCGGAGATCTACTGGCCGGAGATGTAAGACCGCCTGCTTCGTTTCTCCCAATAAGCCTTTTTTGCAACTAATTGGGGGCCCCCAAAGGATCCGTTTAGCAGCACCTATGCGGAAGCCCCAGCCTTTGACCCCGAGCATACCTGGGGCTGCTCCCTTCCTTTCCTCCAAGCCCCGGTTCCCTCTCCTCGTCCCAACGAAACTGGATGAAGAGTTGATCGAGCTCCTGAGAGCCTGAGTCTCCTTTGGCTCCCAGCGCATTGTTCCCTTGCAGGCGCTGTCGAAAGGCGGCCGCCTCCGTCGGGATCTCCCCAGCCTCAGAGGGCTTCGCAGCGCTTGACTTCGCCTCACCCTTTCTGGCTCTGACTCCGGAGGCGAGGGGCATGCCCTCCGCCAGCACTAGGGGGCGCTCTGAACTTTCCCTCCTCCCCCTCCGACGATTGGGCCGCCTTCCAAAGAAGGCTTTCTTCCTCAGGGCCGGACTTCTTCCCCCACCCCGTCCACCAAACTCTGCAGGAAAAGTTTTCTCCTTCATCCTCCTTTGCGACCCGCGCCCACCTTCGGAAAAGTAGTGGACCCTCTGAAAACAACTAAGTTTGGTGGTCCGAGATGGGGCGCGGGTCTGTGTGAACCTTTTAATTCTCTTTAGTTACACGGGTTGGGAAGGGGAATCTTTCCCACGAAGCTTTGAATTCTCCGCCTCTCTCTCTGTGTGTGTGTGTGTGTCTGTCTGTCTGTCTGTCGGTCTGTCTATCTCTTCTGTGGTCCCAAGGTTGCTTTTTTCTTACCACAAAAGCCCCCTGCGACAGAAGCAGTGTTGGGAGAGTTACTGCTTTTCTTTCCAGAGAGTTGCGGGGTGTGTGTGTTTGTGTGTGTCACACCTCCTTAAAGAGAGAGGCCAAGGGAGCGCCCATTAAACAGCAACCTACAGGTAGCCCTCCTCTTACGACCACAAATGAGCCCAAAAATTCTGTGGCTAAGTGAAACATTGGTTAAGTGAGTTTGCCCCATTTAATGATCTTTCTTGACACAGTTGTTAAGTGAATCCCTGTACTTGTTAAATTAGTCAAACTGTTAAGTGAGTCTGGCTTCCTCATTGTCAGAAGGTTGCAAAAGGGGATCATGTGACCCTGGGACACAGCAACCATCATAAATATGAGTCAATTGCCAAGGTTTGAATTTTGATCCGCCACAACGGTCATTAGTGTGAAAACTGGTCATAAGTCACTTTTTTCAGGGCCGTGGTAACTTTGAACGGTCACTAAATGAACTGCTGTAAGCCATGGACTACCTGTATTTGCACTTCTTCATGTTTCAGCAGCTCTGCAACTCTTGATTTTGAGGGCCAATAAAGTGGGACAATTTGGCAAACCTCTGTGCCTTTAGGGAGGCGTCAAGGGCCACCCAATATTTGGAGGGAATTTGGTTGTGGGGGACTAAGAGAGTGAAATCATACCACACAAATTTGTAAGATATTGTAGGTCTACAGCAATTTTCCTTTTTTATATATATATATAAAGATTTTATTGGTTTTTAAAAACAAACATAAACAAACAAAACATAAAAACATCAAGCTGTCTTCCATAGGTGTACATAGAGTGTGCCGGTTGGTTTACAAATTGTTTTGTGCTTCCATTTCGTAGTCTTCAATTACAATTACATTACATACAATCTCATATTGTCAATCAAAAACTAAATATCTTAGTATCATTATTAATCAATCATTTGACTATACTTTTATTCATTCATGTTTTACAAGATAACCATAATGTACTTAATTTATTGTATAACAGTTCATATTATCATCCCAGATCTATCCTAAAATCATTTTGTAGTTATAATAAAAAAGAAGTACATCTTTATATATTTTCTAGAAATCTACATATTTTATTACTGTACTTTGTTATCTAACCATTGATAGAAAAGATCCCAAATTTTATAAAATTGTTTATCCTCTTGTTTTCTAATTTCAAATGTCAATCTACTCATTTCAGCACATTCCAATATTTGCTTAATGATTTCTTCCTGCGATGGTATCTTCTCATTTTTCCAGTTTTTAGCAAATACAATCTTAGCCGCTGTTAATACATTTACAATCAGGTATTTCATGTCTTTACTATATATTTCAGGTAAAATTCCCAATAAAAATATCTCTGGTTTCAAGTCTATATGTTTTTTCGTCATTTTCTCCAACCACATGTGGATTTTAGTCCAGTATTTTTTGGCATCCGCACAAGTCCACCACAAATGGTAAAATGAGCCAGGTGTCTGATGACATTTCCAACATTTTTCAGATTTATTCTTGAACATTCTTGCTATTCTTGTCGGTGGGGAAATGCCACCTGTAAAACATCTTATACAAATTTTCTTTATATGCTGTTGACATTGTCATTTTATAATTTTGAGACCACAATTTTTGCCATTTCTCTAGATCAATCCCATATCCAAAATTCTTCCCCCAAGAAATCATAGTTTCTTTAACTTGTTCTTCTTCTAGTTTAATTTCTAATAAATATCCATACAATTTTTTAATCAGTACCTGTCAAAATCTTATCTAAGTCAGTCAGTTTATCATAGAAACCTTCTGTTTTAGAATCTTTATCATACCTTGAATGTATTTGCGCATATGAAAACCAATTCATCTTTATACCTTGTTCCTCTAGTTTTTGCATAGATTTAAATTCACCCTTTCCATTCAGTATTTCACCATATCTAACTGTTTGTTCCTTTTTGTATATTATAGGATACGAAAATGCTTCAATAGTCGATAACCAGACTGGAATTTTCAAATAACATTGTCTTTTAATCTTCTCCCAGTTTAACCACAGATACTCCCGTATATAATGTCTTCTAAAATAACCCTGTGTTTTAGTTCCTTTGTACCATAAAAAAGCATGCCACCCCAACAACAGATCATGTCCTTCTAATGTCAACAATCTAGCATTTCTTAGTGTTATCCATTCCTTAACCCACATCAGATTTGTAGCTTGGTAGTACGACTCCCAATTAGGCAAACCAAATCCTCCTCTAATTCTAGCATCTTGCAAAAGTTTTAACTTTATTCTCGCTTTCTTACCTTGCCATATATATTTCAACACAATTTTATTTAGATCTTCAAAGTAATCTTTTCCAAGCCTAATTGGAATTGTTTGAAACAAATATAAAATTCTGGGTAATATATTCATCTTGATTGTTGAAATTCTCCCTATTAGTGACAGTTGTAAATTTTCCCATTTCGCCAAATCTAGCGCTATCTGCTGTTTAAGTTTAATATAATTATTCTCTTTTAATGTACTACATCTTGCTGTCAAATATATCCCCAAGTACTTGATCTTTTTCGTGACTTGAATTTTCAATAGGTCTGCCAGTTCTTCCTTTTGTCTTAATAGCATATTCTTTGTCAAGATCTTTGTCTTATCTTTATTTATTTTCAAACCAGCCACCTTTCCATTTGTCTCTATCTTTTCTATCAATTTTGATGCTGTTTCTAAAGGGTCTTCTAAGATGAAAACCAGATCATCCGCAAATGCTTGCAGCTTAAATTCTTCCTTTTTGATTGTCATTCCTTTTATATTCTTTTCATCTGTAATATTTCTGTTTAACACTTCCAAAGTTAACACAAACAACAAAGGTGATAGTGGGCACCCTTGTCTTGTTCCTTTTCTTAAATTAATAGAGTCTGTCAGCTCTCCCTCTATCATTACCTTTGCCGTTTGCTAGCTTCTATTGCTTGGATGAATTTTCTAGCAAAACCCATCTGTTCCAACAGTAATAACATGAATCGCCAATTCACATTGTCAAATGCCTTCTGTGCATCTAGAAATATCAGAGCCATTTGTTTTTCAGGATGTGCCTCATAGTATTCCAAGGTGTCCAAGATTACTCTCATATTGTCTTTAATTTGTCTCTTTGGCAGAAATCCATTTTGATCAGGATGGATAAAATTATTTAAATATTTTTAAGTCTTTCTGCCAATATTGAAGCAAAGATTTTGTAATCTGCATTTAGTAAAGAAATGGGTCTATAGTTCTTAGTTTGTAATGGGTCGGCATCCTCTTTAGGAATAAGTGTAATATAGGCTTCTGACCATGATTTAGGTATCTTCTTCTTTAACATAACTTCATTCATAACTTCTAGCAATGGAAGATTCAACGATTCTTGTAATGTTTTATAAAATTCTGCCGGAAGTCCATCTGGGCCTGGTGCCTTTCCATTATTTTGCTTCTTGAGTGCTTCAGTTAACTCCATCATCGTTATGTTGCTTTCTAACATTGTTTCAGTCTCTTTAGGTATCTGAGGTAAATTAGCATTCTGTAAGTACTGCTTAACTCTCTCTTCATCAATATTCTCTTGCATATATAATTTCCCATAGAAGTCTCGAATGATTTCCTTCTTCTCTTTGTTACCATGGCAAACTTGGCCTTGGTCATCTATTAATTGCAATATTTTCCTTGATTCTTTCTCCTTTCTCAATTTATATGCTAGCCATCTACCTGGTTTGTTTGCGTCTTCAAAGTAGTTCTGTTTAGCACCTCTAATTTTCTGTGCTAATTCTTCTTTTTCTATTTGACCCATTTTGTGTTTAATTATATCCATTTTTAACTTGATGTCCTTTTTCTGTGGCATTTTTTGTAGCTCTTTTTCAAGTCTTTTATGCTCATCCTCTAGGGCCTTAGAGGCTAGTCTTTTCATAGTATTCCTTTTCCTTGTATAGTCTATTATCAAGCCTCTAGCATATGCCTTCATTGTGTCCCATACATTCTGAATTGATGTATCTTCTTTTTTATTTTCTCTAAAGAAAAAGGCCAATTCTTTCTCCATCCACTGTGTAAAGTCTTTTTCCTTTAAAATAGTATTATTTAATGTCCATCTAGATCTTCTTTTTTGTCCTTTCCTTTTAATTGTCATTGGATTGTGATCTGCCCAAGTACTTGTTTCAATATTTATTTCTTGAATGTTAGGTATTAATTCTGTTGACATCCATATCATATCTATTCTGGACCATGATAAGTGTCTATTTGAATAGAAAGGGTTAGGGTTAGGGTTAGAGAGACCACCCCAAAGAGACCACCCCAGCAAAATTGATTTATACTGATGATGATGGAAGAATACTAATGGTGGAAATAATGGACAATAATATGAAAACACTCCTGATTGCAATATATGCTCTGAATGATAAACAAGAAGAATTCTACAAAAAACTACATATGAAAATAATTGAATTGGAATTGTAGACAACAAATTGGATTATACAGCACAGAAAAC